GTTTTCCACCAGCTCTGGAAGCCATTGTGGGTCTATGCTTTTATTTAAGCAGCGTGTAGCCCAGAAACCTCTTTTTTGTTTCGTACTAGCAAAGGCTAAATCCACCATGCAGCTTAATGTGCCACTTGCAGAGGCCTCATTCCCGCCATACTGCAGGTGGAGCGCACATGCCAGGAACCCGACATAGTAGCTCAAACATGCAGGCTGCCATCAGCTTGAAAGAGACACTAGGAACTGTTTTTAGCTCCGTTTTAGAATCTTTTTACTCAGGTTTTAAGTGGAAACTCTTGCCCCACGTTGGGCGCCATTTGTTGCTAGAGTTTTCCTGCCTTGCCCACAGTCAGGACAAATCTTTGTCACTGCCAGCTGCCGCCATGACAAGCACCATGTGAAGACTCTGGTAAGCCACAAGCCACGTGGCAAGGCATAGATTTATAGAAATGGATTAGTTTAAGCTCTAAGAACAGTTAGCAAGAAGCCTGCCATGGCCATACAGTTTGTAAGCAATATAAGTCTCTGTGTTTACTTGGTTGGTTCTGAGCAGCTGTGGGACTGGCAGGTGACAGAGATTTGTCCTGACTGTGGGCAAGGCAGGAAAACACTAGCTACAGGGAGGAGCAAGTTTAAAGGGATCAATCCGTATATCAAAGGCAGGAGAATAAGATGTTAAGTTTAAGGTTAGTTTCTTTCCTTCTTTCCTTCCTCCTCTTCCTTCCTTCTTCTCTTCTTTTCCTTCCCCCCTCCCTCCCCTTCCCCTCCCCTCCCCTCCCCTCCCTTCCTTCCTTCCTTCCTTCCTTCCTTCCTTCCTTCCTTCCTTCCTTCCTTCTTTTTCTGATTTTTTGAAACAAAGTCTCAGTGTGTAGCCTGGGGGGGCCTAGAACTCACTATGTAGACCAGGTTGGCCTTGAACCCCAGAGATCTGCTTTCTTCTGCCTTCTAAGAGCTGAAATTAAAGGCATGTACCATTCAGATCCTAGGGTTAATTTCTTTTCTCCTCCTCAGTCTTCTTCTCCTTCTCCTTTTTTGAGACAAGTTCTCTCCATGCAGCCCTGACTGTCCTGGAACTCACTGTAAAGACCAGGCTGTCCTTGAACTCTCAGACATCCACCTGCCTCTATCTCTGAAACGCTGATATTAAGGGCCTTCACTACCGGGTCTGTCTCCTCATTTTTGATGAGGACTTTCACATTTCAATATAAAACTCAACACATATAAGCAAAGGTTTTCCTTATTCCTAGAAGAAGTTGATGCTGGAACAAAACATGACATTTTATTAAGATCAAAATGTCAACCATGACATCTTTTTATGTGGTTGAAATAATCTACTCACTTGGTGAAATTCTGAAAGAAGTGACTTCTCTGATTCTATGTCAAAAGATTTTTTTTTTTTTTTTTGGTTTTTCGAGACAGGGTTTCTCTGTGTAGCTTTGCGCCTTTCCTGGGACTCACTTGGTAGCCCAGGCTGGCATCGAACTCACAGAGATCCACCTGGCTCTGCCTCCCGAGTGCTGGGATTAAAGGCGTGCGCCACCACCGCCCGGCATCAAAAGATTTTTAAAAATGCTTCATAAAGAAAGAGAACTGTTGCTGGAGAGCTTCTCTCCAGGTTCCACCAAGCCCCGCAGTCCCACAATCCACGTATAAAATAATCACTCAGACGCTTATATTACTTATAAACTGTATGGCCATGGCAGGCTTCTTGCTAACTGTTCATACATCTTAAATTAACCCATTTCTATAAATCTATACCTTGCCATGTGGCTGGTGGTTTACCGGCGTCTTTACATGCTGCTTGTCCTGGCAGTGGCTGCAGTGTCTCCCCCTCCTTTTTCCTGTTTCCCCAATTCTCCTCTCTCCTTGTCCCGCCTATACTTCCTGTCTGGTCACTGGCCATCAATGTTTTATTTATATAGAGCGATATCCACAGCAGAGAACAAATTGAAAGTCTGGGAGCGAAGGCCAGGGTTTGTAAAGAGTGAAAGAGTTGTTGATTCTAACAGCTGTGAAGCAGGCCAGCACTTCATCAGTCAATAAATGTAGGGATGGAAAGGGAGGTGGGCAGTAGAGCACGTAGCACCTAGTTCTGGATTTGATCATAGCACCCTCAGGAACAAAACAACCCAAACAACAGAAAACAGAGCCAATATAACATAAATAAACATGTTTGTTCAGGGTAAAATTTTACCTCCACATCTTGCAACTCAACACTTGCAAAGAATAGCCAAATGGAGACTACGGGAAGCGGTGTAACAGCATCTTGAGTACAGTAACTGGGCAAGGGATGGCTTGCTTTGGGAATCAGCATCTCACTGTGGAAACTGAGCTGAAGAAGGAGGCACAGTTTTGAAAACCAAAGCTGAGCTTTTTACTTTCCTTGTGGAATTGAAATCATGAGACTCCATCTCTCAAGTTTTAAAAGGGGCATTGACTAAGCATGGCGATCTCCCTGGAGCCAGCAGGAAATGGCAGGGATTACTGCATAGAAGAAAGAGGGAAGGAGGAAGGGGAGGAGGGGAATGTTACAGAAGGGGAAGGGCAGTCTGGAGGGCACCCCTGCCTTTGTGGGCTGGCATAAAAATGTAGGATCTTAGAAAAGAGAGGCTTTTCTGACATTTTTTGTTTTAGGTGACTATGTATTCTCTCAAAGGAACCTTGAGCGATGCTTTGTGGGATCTTGATATTCTGGAAAATGTAGTTTTAAAAATTCTTATAGGGCTGGGCGGTGATGGCGCACGCCTTTAATCCCAGCACTCGGGAGGCAGAGCCAGGCGGATCTCTGTGAGTTCGAGGCCAGCCTGGGCTACCAAGTG